TGTATGTGGCATCTGACCTTCAAATTAAGGAGCTTCCCTCTAAACCCTCAAAATCCATTTTAATGCCTTTTTCTATTCCTGTTGCATTTTTCTTAGATACTGTTTGGTTGGTTATTGCTCTGCAGTTTTATCAAAGGAGTGTTGGCAGTTAGCAGTGGGTCTTACATCGGTACAGCTTCCCAATGTAATGCTTGTATTATATTTGTCATCGTGACAACTGCTTTTACAGGGTCAGGATGACGGTTTTGAAATTGAGTTTAACTCATAACAAGTTCGGTTAATGATTTTATCACACTAGTCTCTGGCATAATCTTGCCCATATAGTGGTGCATGTCCAACGTCAGAAGCTAGAAGAATAATTTGCCACTAGTTTCTTCAAGATTTTCCTATTTATGAGTAAAATAAAGCCTGTGGTAAACATAACTTTCTACAACATTAACTGCAAACACTCACACCCCAAGGTGTCTTACCTAGTTACTTATTAGGAACATTCGTTCAAAACATAACTGCTTCAAAATTTGTGTTTTCCCTATGGGTGTGTGTAAATTACTTTGTAGAACAAAATATAGTCAACTTCTGTTTACCACAGGCATTATTATACACACAAACAAAGGAGTAGTTCACTTTAAAAAAACTTTTGCTGATAATTTACTCACCCCCATGTCATCCAAGATATCCACGTCTTTCTTTCTTCAGTCGAAAAGAAATTAAGGTGTTTGATGAAAACATTCCAGGATTTTTTCCATATAATTGACTTCAATGGGAACCAAACGGTTCAAGGTCCAAATGAGAGTTTCAGTGCAGCTTCAAAGGGCTTTAAACGACACCAGACGATGAATAAGGGTCTTATCTAGCGAAACGATCGCTCATTTAAAAAATACATTAAAAAGTTTATGTTTTATAAGCAAAATTCTCACCTTGCTCTGTTCTGTGATGCGCTTTCGTGACTCTCCTGTTCAAACTCATTCATCAAAATGAACAAATCTTTTTTCGAGTCATGACTCGAAGAGTCCTAGATAAGACCCTTATATATCGTCTGGTGTCGTTTAAAGCCCTTTGAAGCTGCACTGAAACTCATTTTGAAACATTAAAACATTTGGTTCCCATTGAAGTCCATTATATGGAGAAAATCCTGGAATGTTTTCATCAAAAACCTTCATTTCTTTTCAACTGAAGAAAGAAAGACGTGGACATCTTGGATGACATTAGGGTGAGTAAATTATCAGCAAAAGTTTTTTTTTAAAAGTGAACTACTCCTTTAATGTTAATAATGAAATAATTAATGTTAAATTAAAAACATAAACTAATGTTCAAAAGTTTGGGATTGGTAATGTTTTTATTCGTTTTTTAATGGCGAAGTGAAGTCTCAAGGCTGCATTTATTTCATCTAAAACACTCTAAAAGCAATAGTTTTATTGTGAAATCATTCTAATGTGCTGATTTGCTGCTCAAAAAACATGTCTTATTATTATGTTTAAAGCAGTTGCTTAATATTTCTGTGATACTATTTTCAAGTCTTTACGGTCACTTTTGATCAATTTAATACATCCTTGCTGAATAAAAGTATTAATTCCTTGAAAGAAATAACCCCAAACTTCTGTAGATAGATGTTTCTCAATCATAAAATCGTATTTTTCATTTGTTTCTCTCTGTTATTCTGTTTCAGTGCATGTCATAAAGACCGGCTGTTTTGGGCTTGGGAGGAAGGGGTCAGAGTTCACGACTCCCAGACACGGATCAACCCCGACAAACTGTCTAAAGACGACGTTCTCTCCTTTATCCATCAGCACTGTCAACAATAAAAAACACGTACATGTCACAGTCACACTGTCATGCCACACTAAGGGACATAGCATAGGCTGTACATTCTCCTCGCCACCAGGGGGCACTGTAGCTTTCACTGAGAAACCTTCAAACTCAGTTACTTCACACTTCAAGGCTCTCTCGAAAAACAGCCCCTTTGTGTTAGACAGGGCGTCTTGGTGCTCACTGGTGTGTATCTGTGTGTGTCCATTTATCTTTAGAGGAACATTTTAGATGCCTTTTCCTTGTCCACTTGCTTTTCTCCCAAAAACCTGCTTCCTCCCATTAATTATTCCTCCACTAAACGGTCAGATGTGTAGCTACAGATTCTATTGCATAATTTCAAACCAGAAGATGACCATGTAAACCAGCATGAAAGCTTGCATTGGTTGTGTGCATGTTGCCTTGTTTTCCTATTTTTGATTTAATGTTTAATAAGACTCGACTGGCTATTACTTACCATGGTGGTTTTGGATAAGCAGTTCAATTTTAAGTCTGTTTGTGATCATAATTACATTAAACCACTGAGGAAGTGTATTCCTTAAGTACCTTTGGGCCGCTTGATTATTCGTCTCGCTTGGGTTTTAGGTCTCAATGAAACAGAATATTTTTCTTCTGTATTGTGATGTATATCAGAGTATAAGAGGTTATCGAAGATTAAAAATGAAGGGCGGAGACTAGTTTCTTTTCATTGATTGGATTTTAGGATGTGGGTGTTACACTAAAGACGAGGCAGATGAATGTGAAATATAATCATAGTATTTGTCATAGTTTGTCATTTGTCACAATCATAGTCTTTATTTTGTCAACTTATTGTTTTTAATGCACAGATGAATTGTTCACTATAAGATCTATAAGGCCTTGTTATATAGAAAACTTTTTTTTGGTTTGGTCATTTCTTTTTGCTTTTCCACTCATGTAAATGTGTTCCACTTTAGTAAATACTTGGAGATAAAATTCGACAAAGTTAGCGACAAAATCTTGAAAAACCAAGAAGAACGTAACATTTGATTTTATTCTGCATTGTCTGCGTCCTCTGCCGATAAGACGCTCCATTTGTTTCTGCTTGCATTGAGAATCCACACAATCTGGAAAAACAGACTGTCTGAATGAAAACTTAAAACTAGATTTTTCTGAAGGAAAAGTGAGTGTTGCTCTTGCAAAAGTCACCTTCAGAATGGTGTAACTATATTATGGGTTTTAATGGTGTATTGCTTTTCTAAATGCATTGCTTTTTGGTTGTTATGGTGTATTGGGTGGTCGGTCGGTAGCTGATATTCCGGTCTCTAGATATTTCCTTCATTTAAAGGGATAGTTCACTTTGAAATTAATTTTTTGGTATGTTTTAGCTTACCTCAAGGGCATCCAAGATGTAGGTGTCTTTGTTTCCACAGTAGTTTCAATTTTGATATTTTTAGGTCAAACCGTTCTTGTCTGTCAGTCATATAATGGAGGTCTATGGTCACCACCTCAAAGAGCATGCACAGAGAAGTCCAAATTAAACACGATTTAATGACTCGTAAATGTAAGTACACATTGATGGCCTAAGACACGAAACGAGCGGTTTGTGTGAGAAAACGAATAGTATTTATATCGTTTTTACCTCTTGGAACCACAGCCACAAAGCATCTGCGCCCTCAGATCACTTAAACATGGCTTTTTTTTCCCACACAAACCGCTCGTTTCGTGTCTTAGGCCATCAATGTGTACTTACATTTACCAGTAATTAAATCTTATTTCATTTGGACTTCTCTGCGCATGCTCTTTGAGGTGGTGACCATAGACCTGCATTATATGACTGATAGACACAAATAGTTGAAAAATTTATTTCAAAGTGAACTATCTTTTTAATGTAATTCCATGGGATATTTTATTTGCTGTTTTTTGCCAGTTTTAACGACCACTTGACTGATTATATTTTCATGACAAAGTTCAATACGTCAGGCTTAGACATTTTTTCAAATTCTGAACCCTAGGGGACTGCGATGCAGGAGGAGGGAATGATGGAACATCCTTATGGCAGGTCTAATTTATTTTGTCATGTCTTATATTCAATATGATTTTATATCTGTATTTTGTTCCTCTAGAACAACAATACATGAACTGTCACTGTGACTGACACATCACTAATGAGCATATTGTGCCGCTTGCTGTGTATTCTTATTTCTCCTCCGAAGCTGTAGGTTTCTGGCATCTCAAGGACGGCGGGACACAGGCAGTCTTTTGTATGCAGGTGTAATGAGAGTTTCCCACACCCTGTTTTCCTATCCATCTCTTGCTTTGAGTTTGTGACTGGAAAGCTAAGCAGAGATTCACCTCAAAGGACAATTAAATTTCCCTGTAGATGGGTTCCATTAGAGAGGTTCCTCTCATCCGAGGGCTCGCTCGCTGGCTGGGTAACCAGATGGGAACGTATGCAAACTCCCCCCCGTCCCCCTCCCCCCTCCCCTGTCCCCGTTCATACTCTCAATTTCACTTTCTTTCTTGGCCAAGAGGTTCAATGTGCCATCTCCCGAAAGCAATTGAAGAGCGCCGCCGCAATACTGCCCATCACTAGCCGTTAGGGAAAGTTTCCTGAAGATATAACAGTATTCTATCTTCCCGTAGGGGACCAGAGTTTTATTAACATTTAAAAGTCTGGTCACTTCGAAGGTGGCTGGAAACTCAAATCAAATTGACCAAAGGGGATTCAATTACAAAAGAAAGGACAGAAAAAAATACTATGGGTCTCTTGAATCTCACATTTTGAAAGTTTGAATGACTTTAAGTACATTTTTCCTTAAAAAAAAAACTGTTGCAGTTATGTAATGATAGCATATGGTAATATTGTCTACTGAAAGATTACCTAATTTTTAATTTGCAATTCCATTGTTTTATTTAATTTAAAAAAAAGTTTAGGAAGCATTTTTGGACAACTTAATGTAAACAAATTGTTGTCTAAATAGGCAGTTGACTAGATTTTAAGACTGAACCAATGTGGTTTCTGATTTATCACCAAAACAATAGCCTATCCGATGTATTAATATACAATTCTGCTTACAAAAAATAATATAGTTTTGATAAAATGGATAGCCAGGCCTACTATTTTGGTGTAAAATACTATGAATAGTACTTTTTTTTTTGTTTCTAATGTAGCACTTTAGAGCATCATAGGTGCGTTAAGACAATGCTATTTATGTAGGCAGTTCACTACATTTTGAATACAACGGTGCTTAATTTGTACAGAACGATTACCATTCTCGTGTAGGCATAAGAATCTTTGCTATTTTTTTTTTTTTGTTAATAGTAGATATCAGCAATATATGAGAATCATAATGATGCTTTAAGACGATTAAAGCGGACATCAGTTGGCCAAACACGCTATTTTGTGTAGGCAGCTCACTAGATTTTGAGATAAGGCATTTAGTGCCTACCGATTTATCATCAGATTCTTTACTCGTTTTTTGTTGGAATGTGATGGGAAATACTTGAGTATTTTGCTATTTATACTGCGCAACATCGACGGATCAACCGGATTTTAAAAGCCGTGGGCGTTTGGGGAACTGGATGTTTGAAAATCGCTTCCCCACATCAATAGATTAAACGTCCCCAAAGGTTTCAGATCCATATCTGACACCACATCTCTTAAATATTGAATGGCTTCTGTTCTATTAAAAATTTATGTTTTCAATTTAAGTTTTCAAAGCGGAGTCGGAGTGTCCGCGCTGAGGAAGGACGAGAGGAGGTCCAGTCAGACTCTACCTGCCGATCAAGCGCGCGCGTTCTCCTCCTCAGGTGCGCGAGCGGGTCAGACTCAAACGGACCGATGATGTTCGCTCTGCCCAAATTCTAAGGAAAGACACATTTCTGCGCCAGTTTGGTGGGTGATATTACACGTGTGACGCCAGAGACGAGTGAGACCCCGATTTTGGAGTCATTTGAAGACTTATCCCAAACTCCCGAGGAGCTGCAATGGCATCGATCGGGGAGTTTGATCCGTTAAACAGCAGTGTACCTGCCACCAAAATAGAAATCACCGTCTCGTGCAGGTAAGAGCGAAAATTGTTAATGTTCACAATTCAGTGATTAAGTCTTTAAAGCATTGTGTCTTTTATCTTTTGCTTTCTTCCTGGCATATTTTTGTTTATTGGGGAAAAATATAAACTATTGTATGTAGTCATTTAGAAGGTGCCTTTAAACGAGGCGCCTTAATACAAATAGAGTCGATTAACGAGTCAACAAAAAATGAACAATTGGAAAATTTTGGGCAGTCTGTGTATCTATGAGACCAGCATCACTCTTGCTTGGGGCGAAGTGGAGTTGCGTAGGCTATAATGCCATGGTACATGAATATGGTCAGAAGAACCATGATATTTGGGGCACCAACAAACAAAACAGTCAGTGATGGTATTAGATAGTATCGTGGTACGTGTCCAAAAACACGGTAGTACCATGTTAAAAAGAAATAAAGAAAAAAAATAGTACCATGATACTTTTTTTTTGTACTTTTTGCATAACAAATCTGTGGGATAAGTCTTCATAATATTCAGAATAGTTGTTAGTAAAAAACAAAAAAAAAAAAAAAAATCATGTCATCAACTTTTACATTTGGTCCATCTATAATTTTTTGGCTACATTGTTTTTTGACAGCATCACAATAACATGACATTATTACCATAGTACGTTTTTTGTAAGGGTTGTGGGGGAATCGCATATCTTCTATGATGTTGTCTATTAGCATTCATGACTTGCAGTTTGTGTCTCAAAATCTAATGAGTTCCCTGCCTAGACAGCATTTTTTTGGGCATGGTAGGTGCGTTCGACCATGCATTTTCTTGTTCGTACATGATGTCTGGAAGATATTATCTTGATTATTAGGCTATAGTCTTTCAGTCTTATTTTATTTTGAATATTCAAAATAAAATGTACTTTATGTATGTACTGTACTTTAAGAAATGATCATGTTTAGCTGCATGTTTTGAGTATTTTGCATTACTCAACATGCTTTTTATATGTTGCTTTTTATAAATAACTTAATCAAACACAGTTCAATCTGTGTTCATAAAGGTCAACATTTTTTGTAATGCCTGGCTGACCTCTTTCCTCACTGTGTCCCTCTGGACCGTTTTCTCCTTGTTGGACAGACACCACTGGCAACAAACAACAGCACAGACTCTTTCCTGAATAATGAATGTGTTGACTGCTGATGCTGTCTGTGTGTTTGCATAAAGCCTTCACTTCAGACACTGCTTGCCCAGATAATCCTTGGGAGGTCTCTTTATACATGAGACACATCTGTGGCCGTCAGGCTTTGCCCGCTGAGCCTTCAGCAATAATTTGGCTGAGGTGGAAGACGGGGCAAGAAAATGAAGCAAGTGGTACCTCGTGGTACATATTTCATTGTGGCCTGCTGGGATATGAATGCAACAGATCAGGATTTATGAAAAATGAAATACAGCAACGAAATATGCGCTTCTTCCAACTGCCCAGTGCGTTTCTGCTTCCCTTTGAGGCGGCGCCTCGTGACATGGCATCTCTGTGGTTAAAAAAAAAAAAAAATGTAGCTTGACAGGGTACAAATGGCTATGAGTTTGTGGACTTAATACATTTGCTACAGGGCTGAAAGTATAAAAGTGTCATGTTCAGATTCTAAGTGAAGTCTTAAAAGGGATAGTTCACCAAAAAATTTAATTCTGTCAGAATTTACTCCGCTTCATGTTGTTCCAAACCTGTATGACTTCTCCAAAATGTGATTTTTTTTCTTTTTCTTTTATTTTTTTTCATTCAAACATTGAAAGTCAGTAGTGTCCAGTGTTGTTTTAGACCCCACTTTCCTTCATTTTATGGACAATGAAAGTAGGCCTAAGTGAATTCTGTGAATAACTGCAATTGCAGATTTCAAACAGAGATGGCGACAAAGAGGAAAAACTGCAAACCGCCTAATTTTTTGCAATTTCCTTTTTGCAAAAACATACCTATACATAAAATTCCCTGCAGCCATAATCATAAAAATCATAACAAATAAAGGCTTGAAATATCTCACTTTGCATGTGATGAGTCTATATTATTAGTTTCACATTTTAATTTGTGGATGAATTTAAATATTTTTGCTTATGGATACAAATTTTTATCAAACATATGTCATATTCACATGACATGCAGGAAAAAAATAGTAGGTTAAATCATGCAATTTACTATTTTGTTCCCTCGATTTCCTAAATTGTGACTATTTACTAATTAGTTCCCTTGATTTATAAATCGTGCTCATAATTTACTAATTCGTTCCCTTGATTTGCTATATCATGCGCACGATTTATAAACCGAGAGAACAAATTAGTAAATCGTACACACGATATAGCAAACCTAGGGAATGAAATAGTAAATAGTGCGCTGGATTTACTTTACTTTTTTTTTCGTGCATGTTATGTGTGGGACTCCTTACATCCGATCGGAAAAGGTATTTATTTGCAATAAAAATGAAGAAAATGTGGAAAAAAGTGTCTAACTTGTGTTTAATATTAAAGTTTCTATCTGTTAGGTGTAGGGAGGGCATCATCCCTCTAAGGCATCATCAATTTAATAATTGTGATAAATATATACATTTACACTCTATTATTATTGCATACCGTTAATGTACAACAAAACTGAAGTGCAAATAGTATCTGCCACAATGTATAGGCCTAAGTATAAATAGCATCTAACTACTATTTACCTTTATTGCAAAGAAAATACTGCTATTTTTACACCATGTAATGTTAGCATCACTCAAACCTTGATTTTTGGTTTCCACATACATTGTCCATGTTTAATTAGTGTTTTGCATACTAACCATGCTTATATCTTGGAATTAGCATGAAAAGCAATCAGCAATTATATTTTTGATGGCTTTGAGTAGTTAGTCACCCATGCAAAACTCCAAAGGGAAACTTTAATCTTTTATGAACTCTGCACAGCAAGTTAGTGAAAGAGTCTCTTTCTGTCACTGCATAATGCTGGCAAATTGTGGAAGCTGTTCACAAGGGAAGCCAATTCATCAAGGTTGTTTGTCACTGTCAACACAGATTGCAGCAGATGCCGTTGTGTCTCTCGATAAGGAAAAGTCTGGATGGAAACCAGAGGGAATGCGTTTAAGACTCTCGGACCCGGAGATCTTGAAGGATCTGTTGTGTTTGTCAGGGAAAGCTTGTAAATTCCTTATAAATTTGTAAACTTGTAAGCTTTGGGATCATATTTCGAGAAGCAAAGGACTTTCCTCTGTATGTTTAATTGAGCGTATGACTCAAACCTGGCAGCATCTGAAAGGAAAATGTTGTACTGTACTGTCAGTCTGTTTTCCTTTGAGTTTAGTTTTCATGAGGTCTTGTAGGTATAAGTCTACCAGTCTGTCAAACTTTGAATTATGTAACAGTTGATCGTCATAACCTGATTTGGAGTTTGCTGTATTTCTTGGTGATTATATACCCATTATTATGTACTATTATGCCCAACCATGTTATTCCGGTGTTATTCTGATCAAGGTCGTCACCCAAAACCCCATAACCCAAGCCACACGGCATGTCAAGGGATCCCCCTCAGTATGGCGCACGTGAAAGCGCTCCCCGTTGAGATGCCAGAGCTTCAGGACCCGTTTATTCGGGCTTAAAACGTCACAGCTGGCGTCACACCAGATGTCAGGCAATACCTCCTGTTGCTCAGAGCCGCATCCTGCAGACTAGAGATGGAATCGATTCTCTGCTCGGTCGGATGGATTAATGCGCTCTCTGCTGTACTTCCCTAGCCTTTTCTTCTATTCCTCTATCTATTTATTCCACAAACACAATTCTCCTTTGAGAGAATATCTATGGGATCCTGTTACTGGTCATCCATCATGCATGTCTTTAAACGGTCTGGTCTTTAAATTTAAATGCACCGACAGAGACCAATAACAGACTGATGGATGGAAACTCAAACTTTAAATAGATGTTGCTGCCATCGGAGCATTTATGAAACATTACTTTAAATCAATAGTCCTTGTTGAAATATCTTTTAGTTGACAGAGATAAGGTCAATGTGAAATGCTTTTCTCAGGCCATTTAACTTCTGTAGTGTGCTGCATTTTGAATGAAAGATGACGAGATACGCAATGTGACAAATGTAGGATGAGACTTGATTTTTATTGTGTGAGAATTGATAAGATTGTGAAAGCTGGCTGTTATATACTAGAATGAAGTCAAGTTGGTAAAGTAAGAGCAAGTTATTACATTTTGGTAAAAGATTATGAAGACAAACCTATTTTTCTTTTGCATAACATGCCTAATGAATCATGCATTACCACAAACATGCATTAAAAACGCAAGGGTAAGATACTGCTGACAACCCCCCCCCCCCCCATTTATCATTCGTTATGTATGATGATGATAATGCATTTTCTCTAAAATGTCTTAAAAGTGTGTTATGCAACCAATAACTATCAATATCACACATGTTTATACGGTCAATACATGTTTTTCACTCAATGAACACAATGAAACTGTATTCTTAAAAAGAATAATACAGCAAATTGGGGTCAGTTTTGATTTTAATGTTGATTCATTTTGATGTTCATAACCTTCATTATTGATGTTCGGCTGGAGTAAATTCAAGCCTGCTCTGACCTGAGCATCAATGAGTCTCTTTGTTCATATTGGACAAACATAGAAGCTGCTTTTTTTCTGTGCAACCATCTGTTCCATAAAACAGTAAAAAAATGATCATCTAGATTGGTTTTCTTGGCTTTTTATTGCCAGCAATAATTGTATTGTCTGTTTTTGTGCTTTAGCATCTCTGTTTTTCTGTTTCTCCAGGAGTTTGCTGGATGTCGACACATTCTCAAGGTCAGCACCAGGTGAGTCTTGATCTTAGGCCCTGGAATGAAGGTCAATCTGATGTGAAGTAGACTAGGGACCTGGTGTTTTAATCGGTCTCTTTTGTCCACTTTCGACCACTTCTGTCCTGATTTCTTCAAAGGCAGGGTCTATGGGTGGGTAAATGTGATGAATATGAATGTGAAAGAAGATGACGGAAAAACATAGAGTTTAGCAGCTTTGGTTTCTGCTCTTAAAGCCACAAGACCACGTCGAACGATGTGAGTGAGTGTTAGAAATCAGGAATCGTGAGAGAACATTGTGCTTTTGTCTTCGGACATTTTTAAATGCCATCTGTCTAGCCCGCTTCCCATAATGCTTACATCTGAAAACGCGCATCGAATGCGTTCGAAAAACCTCAATGAAAGCTATCTGGTTGAATTTGTTTAAATGGTGTAATATTTGTGAATTTGATTATGTAGCCTACTTATGCATTTTCTTGCGAGTGACGTCAAGATTACTCTCTGGTGCTGTGCGCTTGCCGCAAGACTCCGCCCACACACTGTTCTGATTGGCCGTGAGTTTTGATTGATTTTGACGCATCTCGCAGTCGCGTCTAGACTGGACATACAAATTATTTGTTGCTAGAATCTTATCGTATCGCGTCTGGTTAGGACACAGTGTTAGGAGACAGGAAGTGATGCTAACATGACTCAAAGCATTTGTAAGTTTTCAGCTGCAGCCCATGAATGAATTATTCTTATTATTCTAATTATTCAGCCCATGAATTATTCTTATTCTCCAGAATCACGGCAGAACTAGTCGGGTACTTCTTGATTAACTATACCAAATACTGTGTATTTCAGACATGCTACTCTTTTGTCTGAAAAGAGTCTACTGTTTGTCTACTGTTTTTTGCATATTATTTAGTAGGGAAGTATTCGATTTCAGCAGTGGTGGAGGAAGTACTGAATCTCAGTACTTAAGTAAAAGTACAAATACCCAGATAAATATTTACTGTAGTAAAAGTAGAAGTAACACAATGACAACCATACTTAAGTAAAAAGTAAAAAGTACTTTATTTTAAATGTACTTTAAGTATTAAAAGTAAAAGTACTTGCATAACAATTTATTATCTTAATGTCTATTTTCTAATGATTAATAAAACATTTAATTCTAACTCATTCAACCTAATAGCCTACTCCTATAATGATGTTCAATAATGATGGAAAAAAAATGTCACCATTTCTGAAACAAGCTTGCAATTAGGCAATATCATGCTTATCCTTAGTACTATATGTTAATAACACTATATATATATATAATACTATATATATAATACTATATGTTGGCAGTAAACGCGATTCATTTATGGTGTAATTCTGAACCTCTTGGCTTGCCATAATCCTAACCAAACCAAACATATATTACACACGGTGTGTTTCCTATGCACGTAAAAACAAATTTTCGCGTATGAGTTGCATGATAAACACACTGCGTGTGAGACGCATTTAGTGTGACCGGGTTGATATACTGTATCTATGGCAACCAAACGTCACTGGTGAGACAAACGTGCAACGAACGGACGGTCAGATTACGTTTTGGCAGGGGAAAAACTGATCAGAAAATGTAACGAAAATGTAACAGAAGCTGTAGAAATGTAGTGGAGTAGAAAGTATAATAATTGCTGCAAAATGTAACGAAGTAAAAGTAAAAAGTAGGCACTATTTATTGTACTTAAGTAAAGTAAAGATACGTGAAAAATGTACTTAAGTAAAGTAACGAAGTATTTGTACTTCGTTACATTCCACCACTGGATTTCAGACACTAACTTGCTGCATCTCAATTCGCCTACTTATACTACGTCCTAAAAGTATGTACTCTTTTTGTGAAAAAAAAAAAATATATATTATATATATTTATATATTGCCCCTCGAACCGTATTGCTTAAATATATATATATATATATCAGTGTATATTTAAAATCCCTTCCTTGACTGATTATTAAATTAGAAGTTTACACAAAATTGGATTTAATTATGGATTTTATTATGGTTTTATTACAGCGATATAATGTGTTACTGTTTTTATTTATTTTTTAATAATAGACAGAACACATTGTTTATTGCCCAGTATGGAGCTATTTTATTTCAAATTTGGCTCTAAAGACTGCATGCAAAAAGCTTTAATATAGCTAGCATTTAAAATTCTGCATTTACATATTCATTTATACCTTCTTGATTGACTAATGAGCATATAATAATTCTGACTGAGTTGTATTTACTATTCTTAAGGGTAATAAAATGGTCGTCCTGTATGATAATATAAACGTGGCCGTATTTTAATATTGCATTATTCAGAGTTTTTTTTTCTCAGAGGGGCAACCACTGAGCAGAAACACGAAGCATTTTCTCTTCCCAACTGATGTTAATAGCGTAGTTGTGAATGCTATTCACATGAATTATTTTTCTGTTGCCTTGAAAACAAGTGTAAAGGTTTCGGATGAGTTATTCACGGCTATTTGGCATGTGAGGCCATTGCTAAAAGTGTTGTACACCTAGAATATATTTTTTCCCCCCCTCTGCTTTTTCAAGACAAATCAAAGGGACTACTTTGGAAGGAAAGTTGAAAAAGGAGGAAAAAGCCCTTTTAAACCTGCCTTAGTCAGAGAATCCCGAATTATAACATTTATTAATCCTTCACCCTAATGCTCACAGCAATCAAACGCTTGACTGACATCTGAGTTGCCATAATTTGCACTGAGATTTATTCCAAATCAGTTCCTCGGTTGATCTGGCAAAGGTCATACCTGAATAGGTGTCTCTACTCTTCCTGAATTTTTTTTTGTGCTCTGATGATTGTTCCGTGTAATTTATGTGAAATCACCGCCTCAGTGTTGTTACTGCAGATTTTTCGAGGAGTTGAAAATAATGAATGTGGTCAGTCTAATCTTGTTCGGTGCAACAGAGAGATGCGTTCATAATGCCTTGTTTTCGAAGAAAAATTTGCATCATGTAAAACAAGAAATGTTATTTTGGGCTTATTTCAGAGTGATTAAATTCCAGGGCTATTCTCAGGAAAGAAATCCATTGGGGTGGAATGAGTGTTAACTGACATAATTCACAGAATACTGAGCTTGTTTACATTATTTGACCTAATTAAGTAATGCAGATAGACAGTCATTTCCGAAGTCATGTCAATGGTTATTATCCATCCATCCATTAATTAATGACTCCGTCCATCCATTAATTAATCAATCCATCCATCCATTAATTAATCAATCTAACCATCCATTAATTAATCAATCCATCCATCCATCCATTAATTAATCAATCTAACCATCCATTAATTAATCAATCCATCCGTCCATTAATTAATCAGTCCAACCATCCATTAATTAATCAATCAATCCATCCATTAATTAATCAATCCAACCATCCATCCATTAATTCATCCATCCATCCATCCATCCATCTATCCATCCACCACCCATCCCCATCCATCCAACCATCCATTAATCCATCCATCCATCCATTAATTAATTCATCCATCCATCCATCCATCCATCCATCCATCCATTCATCCATCCATTAATTCATCCATCCATCCATCCATCCTTCCATCTATCCATCCATCCATCCATTCATCCATCCATCCATTAATCCATCCATCCATTCATCCATCCATCCATTAATCCATCCATCCATCCATCCATCCATTAATTCATCCATCCATCCTTCCATCCATCCATCCATCCATCCATCCATTCCATTCATCCATCCATTAATTAATCAATCCATCCATCCATCCATCCATTAATTCATCCATCCATCCATCCATCCTTCTATCCATCCACCCACCCATCCATCCAACCATCCATTAATCCATCCATCCTTCATCTATCCATCCATCCATCCATTCATCCATCCATTAATTAATACATCCATCCATCCATTAATTAATCCATCCATCCATCCATACACCCATCCATTAATTAATCCATCCAACCATCCATTAATTAATCAATCCATCCATCCATTAATTAATCAATCCAACCCCATCCATTAATTCATCCATCCATCCATCCATCCATCCTTCTATCCATCCACCCACCCATCCATCCAACCATCCATTAATCTATCCATCCATCCATTAATTCATCCATCCATCCATCCTTCCATCTATCCATCCATCCATCCATCCATTCATCCATCCATTAATTAATCCATCCATCCATCCATTAATTAATCCATCCATCCATCCATCATCCATCCATCCATCCATCCATCCATCCATTAATTAATCCATCCATCAATCCATTTATTAATCCATCCATCCATCCATCCATCCTGCAATCCATCCATCCATCCATCCATCCATTCATCCATAAATCTTGAAATATTCAGACACAAATATCACAGTTTCTCTGAGAATGAAGTCTGTCAGCATATTATAGAGCAAGGGACGAATCCATTTTTTATGGCATTTTAGTATTCCTCAAGATCTTGCTGGACTGAATGGTGTCCTGTCTAGTCATTTCTGACATCCACTCAAATGACCACCCATAGAGCTGCAGTCTGTTTGTCGGTCAGGGTATTTCCTGTTTGGACTCCTCTTGAATGAGTCACCGAAGTTATTGATAAATTGGATTCTCACACCTGCTGCACACTTCCACTTAAAGGGCCTGGGTTTTGGACTAATACTCCATACTGGTCACATCCCATGAAGTAGGCACTTCTCCAAGCCATTTTCTAATTAGATGGTAGGATGAAGCTCTCAGTGAAGCACCTCCATTAGTTCACCTAAGGAAACAGACTGTGCACAGGTTGCAAGTATTTTTATCTATTTATTGACTGTTTCTTTCTGTGTTTGATCCTTATTTTTCCATTTTCTCTTCACAGTGGTTGTGTTGTATGTTCAAGGAATTGGTACCAAAGAGTGGAGAGAGGTTAGTATGCTTTTTATATATGAACAGAGCATAGTGCTCAGCCTCTTGAAAAACTGTATTATCAATTAACATGGTCCATTGGCCACGACTACACAAGCTACAATCAGGACACAATTTACACTTTTATTGATGTGATTCATTGTTGTACTTTTGTATCCACCATGTTTTTTTTTCTTTCAATTCGGTTTATTATCAGATTGCTGTCTATCAGTCGACATTCTCCTCAATCCTCCTCTTATCTGCGCTTGTTTTTCTTCTCTTTTTATGATGTGCATTCTATTATTTGCTTCCAGATAAATCTCACGAGACAGTTTCTTTTAGAAACAGTATCCATAAACTCACAGAACCTTTTAATAACAAGCACGCAAACATTCAATATTAGTAGGCCTATCTACCAAATTGGATTTTACTTTTATAAAGCAAGGACCCAATAAAGTGATCAAATGTGACAGTAAATCGTTTTTTTAATGTTACAAAAATCTCTATTTAAAAGAAATACTTTTCTTTTGAACTTTATATTAATCATAGAATCCTTAAAAACCTGTTTCATGGTTTCCACAAATATATTAAGCAGCACAACTGTTTTCAACATAATAAGAAGAATGCTTAATTTGCAGCAAATCAGCATTATAAGGATTTCTGAAGGATTATGTAACACTGAAGACTGGAGTTATGATGCTGATTTTGCATCACAGGAATAATATTTCACAATAATAAAATAATTCACAGTTTTTTTTCTTTATTTTTGATCAAATAAATGCAGCCTTGGTCAGCATAAGAAAAAACATAATGATAATCATGAATGCTAATCTAATTCTGGGATACATTTTTGAACATAGGCACTTAAGTCTGCTTTAAAAAAATATTATAAAAAAAAACTCATTTTTTGACACACTTTGAAAATTCAACTCGATGGAAATAATAAAGTTGGAGCAGAAATCACAGAAATGATTAAGCCTTGCTTATTGGACAGTTGCAAAGAAGTTGTAAAATAATAATGAATAAAAACGACAATACAATGCTTGTTCTGTACAGTTCAATGTGATCTTTAGATTACTCTCAGCGTTTTAAAATCATCCTAAGACGACCCTTTTGGCAGAGTTGTAAATGCAACTACTAATTGTTCAAAGAATCTCCAGTCTAAAAATACAGTAGTTTGCCATTGAAAACTCGAGGAATGCAGCGAACGCTCTGGACTTCTCTAGAGATATCTCGCTCTCCAGATGGCATCATGAAATATTCACTGTACTTTTAAATAGCTAGCGTGTATCTGGACCAGTGGCTTTCTCCGCATGCATATCACCACTCAAGTGCCCAGCCCACTCACATCACAAGTACCTCCAAAAGCAAGCATAGCAACTGCATTATAAACAGCCTGCTCCCCTAAACAGATAACGCAGCGACCAGCGGTCATCGAACCTTTAGTCCAGGAACTTCTCCAG